AAAAAAAAAAAAAAATCAGCTTTAGAATCTTGCATGATGGGTGTCCTTTTATTTATTTGTTTTGTGTGTTTTCACTTTTTTTGGTGCTTGGTTTGCAAGAAGAAAGTCTCAAGCATGTTGTTGGTACAAGTCAGTGCAGCTCAATAGCACTTTATATGACCACGTGCTGTTCACTGTGTCCCCACCTGGTTCCTTTCCGTGGCATTTGTGCCTCAAAGCCAGTAGTTCACCCCAATGCCCAGTGGTGACCCACGGAAATAAGTGATCACTCAGCTCCATTAGATGTAATGGGGTCGGATCTATCCAAATACTTGATTTTTTAAGTGACTGCCCACCCCCTTCATTCTGTGAAATTCTCAGACCAGATCATCCTGGCCCCTGGACAGGTCGAATTCCCTTCTGTGAGCATAACAAACATTCCCAGGCTGGGGGGAGGGAGGGTGCGGGGATCACAAAAAAAGGGCTGCAGAACCAGCAAGCTGATTCCAGGCAGAGTCCACAATTTCAATTTCCTAGCAGCTGCAGTTACAATAGGAAAAAGAAACAGGTGAAGGTAATTTGATGGTATGCTTTATTTAACACAACAGAGCCCAAACATTACCACTTCCACTGTGTAATCAATATGAAAAACTACTATGGTATTTTACATTCTTTTTTACGAAGTCTCTGTAATACGAGGGTTTTGCCCTCAGCACATCTCAGTTTGGACCCACCACATCTCAGGTGACACACGTGGCCATGTGTAAATCCTTTCTGCGCTCTGTCCTCTCCCAGCTGTCATAGCCCATAGGGTCTCAATGGAAATCATCCTACACCCTCAATCCAGGGACACGGGGCGATGTCTGGGGACATCTGTGGCTGTCACAAGTTGGGATGCTTCTGGCATCAAGTGGGCAGGGGCCAGGGATGCTATTCAACACCCCACAGTGCCAGGGACAGCCCCCACAGAGAATGACCCAACCCTAATATCCAAAGTGCTCAGGGGAGAGAGCCTGATTTAGCCCAACCTCCTCCCCAAATTTGATACTGTCCGGAGGCCAGTCGCCCAGCAGCAGAGGTCAGACCCTGACTTGTGTGCGTGGGGGGCGGGGGTGGGGGCAGCCCTGCTTGAAGTCACCAGGTTTTCTTTGTCTAGAGCCTGGAACACCGTATGGCAGGGGTGTGTGGGCAGGGTCAGCAGAATCTTCTGGAAGGTGGGCAGTTGGGAGAAGTACGCTCAGCCAGCCACCGGGGGAGGAGGTGTGTGCCAAGTAGGGCAGGAAGCCTCAAGCCCAGAAGGTGGAACTTGGCCTCCCTCTCTTGCTGTGGACTCCCAGGTTAACGGAGTTCAGAGGAAGCTGTGACAGTGTTTCCCAGAAAGCTGGGTTTGACATGGCGTAGGGGTGAGGAAGGGGAAGGGACTCCGAAACCAGAAACAAGTAGGGCCTCCAGCCCCCACGTCCCCCTCTCTGGATTCCTTGCTGACCAGGTGTTCCAGCTCCAGGCAGGCCACCCGAGGCTGGAGGCCAAATCTTGAACCATAAACCAGGTAAGTAGAGGACCCGGTTGTTCTGCAGTCCCCATGGCAACGACTCGGTGGCTCTAGAGGAGGAAAGAGGGCAGGAGGGAGAGGCCTGGGCCTCATGGCAGCCTGAATGGATGACTGAGTCTCGAGTTTCTACCCAAGCTTCCCAGGGGACATAGGGAGGCCCACAGAGAAGCACCTGGAGAATCAGAGAGAAGCCTCAGGTGAGAGAGGGACTCAAGCCATGTGCCCTGTCTCCTCCCCCACCATCCCCACCCCATGGCAGCAGGAGCTGGACTACCTGTACTAGCATCACAGCTGCCCGCTGGCTCTGCATCTTCAAGGAAGGTCATGCCCTTGTGGATCTCACTTCCCTCCTCTGCAATCCCTCCTCTGCAAAGGGGGTCATCACAGGAGATGGCTGGCATCTGCCATTCCCCCAGTAATGGCCTCCCCTTTTACTCAGGTCCCCTTCCCCCCTTCTGTGGGGACCCAGGTTGGGGTAGGGGCTACCCAGGGGTCCTTGGGGAGAAGAAGGAGAGGGAGGGGAGATACAAGTCTTTCATTTACTCTTGCCTTACTGTCTGCACCTGCTGCTCCCTGTTCTGGAAGGTCCTCTCTTGCATCCCATTCCCCAACTCCTGCTCAAGCTTCAGGCTCAGGACCAACATCCTCCCCCTTCGGACTGCCAAGGGCTGCCAGACCTCCACAGTAAACCCTCAGCACAGCTGCTGCATTAACTTTACCCCCATAGTCTTAAGTCTTGTGGCCTTGGACTTGACAGTGGTTCTTCAACACAATACATAGGCACAAACAGCAAAAGGAAAAATAGGTGAACCTGAAC